CTAATGACCAAAGACCACCAATGGGAACTTTAAATTCTCATGTGAAGGTTTTTGACCCCAAAAATATTTTTGAGCGGATAATGAGATTTTAATTTTTTGTCCTAATTACACAATTAATGATGCTCATAGATAAAAATGTTTCGTAACCCTAAAATTATATTTTTTAAGGTGTTCGAACACTTTGTAACAGCAAATGAAAACTCAGATCAAATTTGAATTACCAAATATAAATTGATACTTTGAACCCTACTATAATCTGCATTATACACTATTAAACGCACCTGTGCACGAACATATTACAATATAGACAACGGTGTTATCAACCTACTTGGAATTGTTAGCTGTGTTTATGGCACCAACTACCGGGATATATAAAAAAATATTATTTTGATACAAGACAATTGCAATGGCTTTTGAATTTACGACCAAAATATAATAATAAAAGTTATTTTAATATAGTATATTTATTTATATATTATATGTGTGTGTGTTGTGTGTTATATAATATATAAACTGCACATGTATACACATAGTCACATAGATATAAAATATATATCAAAAGGGGGACTTTGAGTTTTGGTCGTAACTTATTCGGCTGCCGACATTTTCAACCTTTCTGTTTCACTGAACCGTGACGATTATAAAAAACCATCAATTTTCAATTCGTAGAGATGGCGTAGGTAATGCACAACAGCTGATGACGCTCAGACTTTCAAAAAATCGTTTTCATTCTTTTTCAAAGTGTTTTACAAAAACGTCTTAAACCATCGATTTATTACAAAACACGTAGGTATTATACCTCCCCTTCATATTGTGATCGAAACATAATGAATTCAATCTTAGGTCAAGTCACAATAGTTAAAACATGTCGGTATAGTATGGCCCCAAGAACGAAATGTCCTATTTTAAAATTTGGATTGTCGTAAACAAAAACTCGCTAAAAGGACCACTTGGCTGTATCGCCGGCAGTTATTATTATATAATATAGTACCTACCATCACCATCGTGTGTGGTCGTTTGTGACTTTAGTCTTTGGTCGCATTGTCTGTTTACGGGGTTAGGGTGGGGTTGGTGGTGGGGAGGATTGGGGTAGGCGCACGTTACAAGCGCATAAATCATGAGCGCCCAACAAACGGTAGTCCTCGGCATTCTGACGCGGAGAACGGTCGAAAAATGCGTCGCCAAAAAATCGCAGAGCGCGTTAAATCGATTTAATCCGACAGAAGATATATGACGTGTGTGTGCGTATGAGGACCGACTGCGTACGGGAAGTAACCGCCGTTACCGCGGTAGTGCAACTAGAAATCCTCTCCGAAATCGGTCACGTCCTGTTCGCCCGGCGGATACTGCCACTTCCGGCGTTGGCGAGTTTGACGCGCGCACGCACGTGACTATACTGGTGACTTGCAGCGTTCCGTTCGACCGGCCGTTGCGGCCTTTACCGTTAAACCGACGCCCTATCGTGTCTCTTTATTATAATATTATTATATAGAGCCCAAATTGATATGCGACCGGTGAAATATTATTGCACGTGCCAACCATCGCCACGGGCGTTCGGCTAAACTTTTCCGATTTATCACGTGCCCATATATACATATAATAACATTATACATTGACAATATTATATTATTATTATTAGTAGTAGTATTATTAGGTATTTAAATGTGGACAACGAATATAATATGATATTATTAGATTGGGTTTTGAAAAGCGACAAGAATGTCGTCGAGTATACAGTAACTTTACTTCTCGTCGCAGCCGGGATAAACCCTCGCCGGATGGACCTTTTCCGATCAAGTTTAAACCCTTTGAACGACGACTGCCGTATTTATAATTCAAAAACGTTTCAATAGTAAATAATAATTATAATCATAATAAATAGGTGGTATACGTATAGATCAGTGCCAATAAATTCGAAATGGTCGTTTGCAATTCAATGGTTAGTCGGAATATTCACCGTAACTTTATCCAAAACTATATATGTATACTTTTAAACCTTTTATCGCTGAGTTGATAATAACATTTGCTTTTTCAAATGTGTAATTTTATTATTTTACTTTTATAACATTTATATTTTGGTTTGGTAGCAAAACAGTTGCGAGTTAATTTGTAAATAATGATATGTTCGTCGTTCAATAATAAGTTACGAATGTAATTAATAATTAAGTATATAGTCGACTCTCCATAAATCCAAGCTCTCTGTAATTCGATGTAAATGCTCAGTCCCTTGATTATTGCGATTATTTGAATAAAAAAAAATGCATTTAGGTACACTCGATAATTCATAGTAAAATTTAAGGTGAACCACTGAACCAGTAACAAACACCTGGATCTTCTAGGTTCCTCCCACTAAACCCCCAATAATTGGAAGTTATGTTTCACCACGATATTGAACCATAACAAAACCATCTTAGTTCTTATCGTTAATAATAAACTATTATGAACGTAGGTAACTACATTTTTAATATTAGAGATTTTTTAACAAAAATTGATTATACTCAATATTATATTATGATTCATTTATTTATATATTTATGGCTTTTCTTTAGTCCATCCATCTTTGAATTGTCGAGAGTCGACTGTGCCTGGTTCACTATAAATTAAATAAAAATAAATTATGTGAATGCCTACTTAATTATGTTTTAGGTAAAAAAAAAATGTAGGTCTTTATTGAACAGGTGTTCTCTGAATAAAGTAATACTAACACATGATAAAAATGGTAACTTTGGTTAAACTTAAACGCGTTTATAACGCCTTTTCGGTCTCCCGTAATGTTATTTACAATGTGTGAAGGAATATAAAAGGTCAGTGACACAATTATGATGAGCTTACTGCCATTGAAGCTTGCGGCAGATCGGTCACGTCTGCGGAAATATACCTATAGGCTATAAGTATAACAACCGATTGGTTTTGGATTCGCATACCTTTTTTTTTTTTATTTTATTATTATAATATTAGGATATATCCAAACTTCGAAAATTAAACAACCGTAATAAGCTGATAGTTTAACACAAAATATCAAAACAGAGAAAAAGCGACGAAAACGGCAAAATAAAGTTTATTTAATTTTAATAGAGATTAAATTACATTTATATATAAAAAATTATCTTTATATAAATATGTATATTTTTTTAAAGCATTTGCGTTTAAATTTGAACCCTAATTATAAGGATAGTGTAAATCGAAAAAATAACCTTTTTTGAAATATGTACCTACACACAAAATTAAATTTATTATCTAAAAATCTAAAAAAAAAAAGGTCATACGAGATTTTTTAAATATTATTTTTACTCATAAAAAATATTCTGTGTTCAACTAATACATTCTGAGGATTTGTGTCATAAAATAGGATACATGCTGACAGTTTCTAAACGGATGTCTACATTTTTGAAATATTAACTTTTTAAAGTTAACCATTAAATTAATTTAATTTACATTTTACATTAAAAACATTTCATCATTAAGAAATGTGTTTTTATCAATTATTAAAATATATGTTTTGGATAGTGTGTATTCTGATAGCACGTGCGTTTGTTAAATTCCAATCTCGTATAAAGGAAATTTATATAGGTAAATAATTTATATGAATCCATTAACACTAAACGTCTAAACTGTTTACAATAAAATATACATAATATTTACTTTCATAGTTAAATATACAACTTAATTATAAATCCACGAGTGTCTCAGTGGGACCAAGTATTCTTGTTCCCGAGAAATATATAAATAATAATAATAATACCATAATCTACATCACACATTTCAGAATGAAGCATTGTTATGCGTGTTTTTACTTTTTTAAATATAATTTATTTAAATATTTGACCGATAAAAAATCGTAAGTATTTATTAAAGTAATACCAGTAATTTTCTAGTTTTTTCATGCAGTTATGAACTGTTTGTCTATAGTGGTAGGCATTTGTGAAAGGTAAATATTACCATAAAGTAAAACATAATTTTATAAGATTATTCATAAAAATAATATATTACACATATTTTCATGTTTTATCAAAATTATAGTATATTAAAATTATATTTATTTCACCGTTTATTTGAATAGAAAAATAAACATGCATAAGTATTAGATATATATTGTATATACGCTGTTACGTCTCTTGACTTATAGGGTCGATCTAATATTTGTAGATGACTTCATAAATGAAATATGTTATCCAAAGAAGACGGCGAAGCATATGATTTGAAAATAATGGCCGCAGTTTCCTTATCCTGTTGACGTGATTCTTTTCTGCTCCACTATACTATACCTAACGAGCATTATTTGCCCGAGTTGTATTCTTTTTTGGGAAAATGTGTACCACATCAGCAGCCGCGAGGCATACGCTACAAATTGGTATAATCGGCCTTGTGAAGATGTGCATGAAAAAAAAAATGCTGAAATACCCGGTAACTGGTACCTATATAAGAAAACTATTTTCTAATGAGAAGCTTTTATAAACTATTTGAAAGGATATATGGAAAATGCTGAACAGCAATAATCCAAGTTATTTGAGTATGGATGAAATACATAGAGCTGGTAAAAATCTCAGGATCGTTAAGTATTCCGGATCGCTTTCGAAATACCTTGTTGGCAGTCCAATTTTTATAATGGAACTGGCGGGTGGTTTTCAAAGGACCGACAACTAACCAAGATTTAACAATAATATATGTTATCCATAGTTATTTTTAGTTTGCCAAAACATGTTCGAAACAAATTAATCTATAAATATAAATGTGTTTCAAATTTATATTTATAGATTATTTCTTTCGATAAAAATATTCTTAGTGGTTTTAAAATGCGTATAACTAGGTATATAATAAAAAAGTTCAAGACAATTTTACAAAAAGTATTGTTTTGTTGTAATTTTATATGAAATTAAAATCTTAAATATCTATGTGTGAACTTTAAAAGGTATAAATGAAGGGGATCAAAAATGTTTGGTGAAAAGGTACAAAAATATTAGTACAAATACATGTCACATTAACATACAAACCGCCTCGATATGAGTGCCGCATGCCACAAGTTTATGGAAAATGACGTCACATGTGCAGGACCCAGAAAGGCGGCTGGACGTCAACAGTGGCTGTGCAAATCCATGTCGCCGGGACGACTACAAGACGCAGAGCGTGAGATGGCACCTGGCCAAGGAGCTCGGCTGCTCCGGCTGCACCAAACCCGAAACGTCCTGCTTGGTCACCGAGGACACAAATACTTGCCCCCCGGGCCGAGCAGCCACCCCGAATAAACCCACAGAAACAAAATAAACCAAAGGAAGCAAATAAAAAAACAAATCCAGAAACAGAATAATCGTCAGAAATAAACAGTACAATACAACGAACAAAAACCAAATTTGAAATATGAAGTTTACTCTCACATAGCAAAGATTTTTTTTTTTTAATTTTGCTGCGATTTGAAATTTGATAACTGAATGTTGATATGGATCGATCCTGGAACTATATCCTTACGAAGTCTGTAAATTAAAAATTATATATTACTTTTTTTATACATTACAAACCACTGTTTAATGGTTTATAAGACGCAATATAAAAATAACATCATTTGAAATGTTATAATTTTTTTTATTGGTCTAGAATAAACGACAACTATCATGGCCATAAGCTATTGTGGGGGTTACTGCTGTAACGGTACACTTAGGCCATTGAGTGTTTTTTTTCAATTGTGGGGGAGGGTACTATAGGTTTTTGGTAAACACGTGTGTTTGATTTTGGCAGAATTTCAAGTTGGGCACCTGTAGGTTTCTGCCATGACCGGTCATGGGATGGCTGACTCACTCTCTAGAGTCTAGACAGTTGCCTGCCCAGAGAGAGGAGCCACCCGTGGGCCGTGGTCGAGATTCGAACCGGCGATGGTGAGCGTTGGAATCGACGCCGTAGTCCTCTCGACCACTCCGTCCCCCAGTTATAATTAATTTGTAAGTTTCTTATCCTTTTTTACAACATATTTTTTGAAGAAACTATTTTGGACCTCGTAATACAAATATAATAATAATAAAATCACTCATGTCTAAACATAATGATAGTAATAATTTGAAATTAAATTATGTTTGTTTAACAATAGAATATTGAAAATGTTTAGGTAATATTCTATACCTTTATAACTTCATTGATTAAGAAAAAATATGATGTTTTAACTACTATAAAAGTAAACAATTGTAGAACAATGGCCAAGTCTTATCTTAATTAAAACAATTTTCAAAAATATATTAAAAAATGACAAACTAAACAAATAATTTTAAAAGCAAAAAATATACATTTTATAACTGAATTTACTCACAACTGGTTGAATATTGTTTTATTCTTTTTATTATTTTATTTTTTACAGACATTTTAAATTCAAATTTGGACGAAATTACATATTAAAATCAATATTAACGATCTTGTTTTTTTGTTGTAATTTAAAAATATTATTCGGGGATATATGGCATATCCATACAATCTACCATAGTATAAGGAATAAGAAGTATGCTCAATGATAAGACCGTGCATATTTTAAGGGGCAATGAATAATTTATTCATAAATTCCATATAATTTAATACCATAGATAAGTATATAATATGTCTTATATACCTAAACTGACATACCGTCTCCGCTCAGAATCGTTTTTCTTATACAATGATATTTTATCATTGAATTCAAATTTAATACCATCCATTATACAGTGACCCACTTGTAACCTACAGTACAGCAGAGCGACATCCCCTTACCCACTTTTTTGTAACATTCTAGTTATAAAGATCAAATTTACTGAAAAGTAAAACTCGTGAAGTCGTGAAATCGTATTGATAAATAAAATATTCAAAAGTTAACATAATTTCAACACAATACATTTTAAGAAGATAATAAACTACTTTTAGTTGTATAAATAAGTATAATATTGATCAAAAATTTGCTAATACTATAAATATAATATTCTAGTTCTTTAAAAATATTTTCTAATATTTTAAATTTTAATTATTGGATATTAAATAATATACGATATTTGTATTGTATCTTAAATATAATATGTATTGTTATTATATTTCTATGAGGCATAACTATACTATTCTGAATTAACATGAATAATGTCCTATTATTGATGATTTACACTACAACCATTTAACTAGGATAAACTGCAAAACATTATTTATTTATTTTGAATTTATTTATGGTACATTTTTTGGTACAAAGCAATGTTACTTTTAAATATCTGTAAATCAATCATATGGGTAAACCATTTCTCAACTCTATATGTAAATGTATAGTTTTCCTTAAACATTTTTATCGAACAATTTTCGTCAAAGCTCAAAAATATACTACACATGAATCAGAATACTGTAGAAATCTACATCAGCTGAACAATAAACTTAATTAATAAAATAAATAAATAATAACTAAGTGAAGAGGACTTCAAATAGAGGTGTACTTTGTCGAAATGATATTAAATGGAAAATACCTAGTATTTAATATCATACTACATATATAAATTTATAAGTATTATAATAGATACTACAAAATGTATTTAATACTATAGTATTTTTTTCATGTCAGGTTTAAAATGTCAATATAGTTAAATGTAATAAGTAAAATAAATTATCACAAGCTTGAGACATAATTAAGCTATCTAAATCTAAAAAGTAGTATGTATGAACTATAAATGTTCAACATAAGTACATTATATTTTACATTTTTATACATAATATTGTGTTTTCGTTTACAACATTCTGATTACACTCACCGCATAAACGTGAAAACGTAATTTACACGGTCGGTTGCCCCTTGCCATTAATCGGTGGTCATAATGTTTTATTTTTTTAATACATTTTTTTTAACAGGTTTCTATTGTTTCTAATATTATATTAAATTTTAACAAGTTTTTTAAAGGTTTTCGAGAATTATTAAGAGAGCGCGTTTGCTTTCAAACCCACTTTACCACTTTACCACTTACCAGGTGCCAGAACCTACACCTACCACTCACCTTAAGTTCTTAACACCATATACATAGTAAATATATACAACTATACAATTATACAATTATATCAATAACGAAAGATTATAATTTATAAATGTATGTCCAGTGCACCGGGAAGGTTGCGTTGGGGATGCGAGTAGGTCCCGGCGAGACTCGATGGGGTATTCGTTTTGGATCTGTCGTCGTCTAATTGCTTGCCGATGACAATAATACTTAATAGTTAATAGTTACCCTCCTCCAATGAGGCATGATTACTCGTCTGTGTCACCTCGACCCACACGCACGCCAAAACCCTTCAGATGATACGGCAATTATGATTTTGATTAATGATCGACGACACATTACGTTAAAATACTATGAATGCGGAATAGTAGTTTCTCGTCCCTATACAGAACGTCGTTAGTATACGACAACGATGATGATGATGATGATGATGATATTATTAATATGGTGCAAAATGCAAATGGTAATTATTGTTATTATAATTATTTAGTTATTGTTATTTTTTTTTTATTATTCCATGCCGTTAGACTACGAATAAATAATAATGTGTGTGACAGAATGCAACGTGTGATGTTTAAATACAATTTTCTCGGTGAATACCTGACGTGATGATATAAAATATTATTTCATTATACATTTGAACGTGCGTTCGAATTACACTACGAAATACAAAACACGGCCGTCTGCAGTTCAATTTGTTCTTCATCGCGTGTTTTAGAACCAACCATTTCTTTGATGTTTTCCCCCCATTAAATATCACCTTCAAACATGAAATGTTTTTAAACACTTTCAAAGGTCTGATTGTGTTTGAGACTTTAGATATTCGATAAGCAACAATGCGCTCATATTATTATAATTTATGACTTTACGTATTTTCTTTTTCATATGTTTTTAATATTAGGTATAAGAATGAATTGTAGATAGGCACAATGAAATACACAATTCGAGTTATTAAAATATTATAATCTTTTTACTGTTATATGGTTCAGTGTTTGCATAAATGCCCAGCCTCACGACAAGTCATTCGTATTCAAAGGCTTGCAAATATAACATCACTTCTAAGCTGATTAACGCTCACTATGACAATCATAGACACCTTAAACTTTATCATCAAATCATATAAATTCTAATATGTAACTTATTTATTTGTGATTCAAAAGTGAACTAAATAATAAACAGGAATACAGCATTACATTCAAAAAGTTCTAATTTCTCCATTGGTCGTATATAGAAAAACTCATGACTCTTATAGTCTTATAACATGAATACGTTCCATCGCATCAAATATTCGCCATAGATATCGTAGAAAAGTAATAAATTATAATTTAATAAATTATTAAATCCACTGAGATTTTCCCACATGGAAATATGGAATACCAATTATTACAACTTATTTAGGTATTGCTAGTTATTTTTTTTTTTTTACTAGCTTATACATTTATTTAATATATTTTTTTGTACAATGAGAAAGTATTACTTATATTATCTAAGCAAACTAGCTATAAGAAACTCTAGACAGTAAAAAAATAATTACTTTGATAAATTGCATCTCAATTTTAAAAGAACCAATATTACTTTACCCTCCACGACACTATTAATAAAATTGGGATTTAAGCCAAATATTTTCCCATCGTCATAACTTGAGTTCTGATGAGCTCTGATGTTATATCCTGTTCTAAGCAATGAATTCGTAGGCACATTCAAGATATGTGACAGTTGGTGATACCCAAGAGCTGTCGACTAATTATTATTGTATATTTATAGCTACTAAATCTAAATTTTATACGACTATATTTTACACCCGTATCACAGGAAATTTTTTTAAAAAAACTGACTGCATTTGAAATAATTACATTTTTAACTTGAACTATACACACATATCTAAATGCTAATAAAATCATAGAATAACTTGCAAGATAATATTATGATGATTGAAATTTGAATGACTTATTATGATGTAATATGATGTACCTAGGTAAATGCTTACTAAGCATTTGAATTATTTTTGTGGTGGGATTTGATTTGATAGTTATATTATATTTATTACTTTTACATTATTAGCAATTAATGCCTAATAATGGACTGTATATAACACTTTTCCCTCCCTTACGTGCATAATATAAACAAAAGTGCACTTGAATTAAAATTAACCCTTTAATTACTCCAAGTTTATTTACTTCAATGCAGTCTTAATGCATAACGAAAGCGCATACCAATGGCTCACGCGATTGTAATTTGCATTAAACCGCTTTCCATACATTCAATAATGGTTA